ATACCCCTGAGGGCATTAGTCTTTACTCCCAACAGGGTATGATAATGTACACCATGATATTATGAAAGATGTTTTTATAAAAATAATAACATCAGTCTATCTTTCAAAAATGATTCCTTTGCAAAAGTTTAAATGATATATACATTTCTATATTTCCTTAAATGCATTTTACATGCCACCCATCATAGATTACTTCTGTCTTTTAACACAATCCAAAACTTGCTTCAATATTTTTTATTATTGCTTTTCTTCAGTGATTAAATTTCAACCAATTATTACAAAACAGGTAGCAAAATTCAGTACAGTGCCTGATTTATGAGTATAAACTGTAATTATTTTTATTAGAATACTTCTTATGTTCCAATAAATAAAATTTGAAAACGTATTAGTTAGTAGTTATTTTATTCAAGGATGAATTTTTAAAGGGCCATGACATGTTTCTTATTCTCATCATGCTCATGCTATTGATGGAATAAGAATAGAAGGGAAAAACAAAGACTCACTGCTACTGCTAAAGTAAGTTAAAAAAACTAAATTTGTATTACTTAATGTAAGAAATGAGCTAATAATACATTTGTATCTTGATTTTGTTATGTTTATGTGCATTTGAATCAAGAACAAACATTAGTTTGTACCTTTGGTTGTTTTCTGCCATTTGGTCATGTTGTTGTCTTTTAGACACAATCCCCATTTCCATTCTCAATTTTATACACACATAACACATGATCCATATGCTAGTAGCCTGATTTTGTATTAATGGTTAAGGAAGTTTCATTTGTGCACACAATATTCTATTTTTTCTTAACTAGACAATATGTTGTAAAAATAAAACACATTGAAAAAGACTTGTCCTGGCTTGTCTGTCTCACAAAGGGTTTGTGCAACTTATTCCTGAAGTTTTCAAGCTATAACTCTTATTTTATGTACGATTTGTGGACACATTTCAATTTTTTTCCTGATCAATTACAGGTTGTTGGATTTACTAATTTACAATGTATTAGGTATGCAGGGTAAATAATTGATTGATTGTTGTTTGATTTATTTTCAGTTGCAAATATTGTGGCATGTTCAGGAAGGGAAAAAAATTAACATTACATACAATAGGTAGAGGTCTACCAGGATAAAGGGTAGTAAATTTTGGACAGCCACTTGAAAGAGTATGTTTGATACAGACAGAAATTTTGCCTAGCAATTAAAAGACCACCTACAGACTCCTCAGAGGATGGTTGCAAGGGTTATTCAATGTGAAGAGAATGTGGAATCCCTCTTTCTCTTGTGAACAGATATCAGAGATAAAAAATTCGGACCGGTCTTTGCTGCATTATTTTACATCGAGCACAGCCAAATAGATCCCCCACTTTAGCAAGCATCTTACTGCTGGAATGAGAAAGTACAGAGATTATCACGCTCTAAAACATACATATTAGACATCCAAAGTAAGACAGCTACATTGAATAAGCAAAAAATTAATTAAAGTTATTCTTTACTACAACTGTTAACGATAAAATCTAAAGTTTGCAGAACTTTATTCATGTGTCATGCAGGGGAATAATCTTTATCTAGTTAACATTTAATTTCTATTCATGATATTACATGAGGTTAAAAAATCTGTCCACTTTAATTATAAGTATTTTTATTTATTTATTTATTTAGGTTAGTTAACACATAGATGTATAAACCATGGGTTTATACATCTTTGGTTACCATATATAAATTGGGCTTAAGGATGACTACTTGAAAAAAAGACAGGACAAAAGATTTGAGTAATAAAAAGGCAGGATGACGATTTATGTAAAATAAGTCATGATACACTAAGAAAAAAAAAAGACAGGACCGAATAGAGTGAAAAATAAAACGGCAGGACAGAAATAACAACTAAAAGAAAAATTTTCCTCCTAGCACCACCTCCCATAAAAATCAAATGTCAGCTCCCTAATTGTTGTCATTTATTATTACAGCTAGAGCGTAATTGTTCAAAGCGAAGATAAGAGTAACGCTACATCGCTACATAATTTATTATTTGCGATAGAAGAGAAATTATTCGGCGGGATACAATTTTTCATTTTTGGAAATACCCATCTATTTTTAACGATACACACATTTCGGTGACGTATGCATTTCTAAATTCCAAAACAGATATAGGTAGAGATATGTTATAATCCGGTATGGCACGACTGGTGTGCTGTTCAGTGCGTCTATATCTTTTTTGTTGGTTTTGTCCGTCATTTCGTCCAATCAGAGTAAAGATTTGTTACATCATTCATGCCGTTACCATAGTGAAGCGTCCTTTATAAACGGGTCACAAACCGAAATTATACTGACTGCGTCAGAAAAATGACTGCTCATTTCCATAATTGATTTTTTTCAAATGTTTGTAAGGATTTGTGTCTAAAATAGCCAGTACTATTTTCCTATGCATATAATATCTATTTATGATATACATGTAACCGATGGTTTCGGGATACCGATTCATTTTTTTTAGGTGCAATTTTACGTTAAATTCTTTCAAAATTAATTTTAAGATTACTCATGGAAAACTTTATGGAGAGGCTCAATAAAAGAGGTAAAACAATTTTCCTCTGTATTAGTTTTACTCGCAGAGTCAAAAATAAATAAAATGTCAAATCCTACTGGATACTAAATATTAAAGTATATAAAAAGAGTCTTTAACATATACTTACAACAATTTCCAACAATTTAACATATTTCCATAAAACCAAAATGCAATTCGGCTTTGCATGTTCCTGATGGATGAAGGCATTTTAATTAAGGACGTAACTCACCAAAATAAAATAATCTGTATTAAAATACAGTAACAATACGTAATTTAGCCGTTTAAACAGCAGTTTGGGTTTAGCTTCAATGAGAATGTCCCAATTTTCCACTTTAGGGATAAATATTAAAATCTGGTAGAATTCTGACACACTGGCAGTTTTGTGCAATCTTCAGGCATTTATAACTTGGGTCCAATTATCGCTTTTTAGAATAGAAGCCATTTTATTGTAAGAACCTATGAGTACACCCATGGAGCTCTGATACTGTGAATTTAAGTAAAGACTTAAACAAAATATTTGCCGCTATTGTGAAATAGATTCAGGGGGAAATTGGCCCTACCCTTTGATTTAAAAGTCTAATTTAACTTTTATATACACATGTACGTGTTGGAATAGGAATAAGAATAGGAAGACTTATATTCCTGGTAGGGCGTCTGTTTGATATTTTATCGGACTGCGAACATTTATTGAATTCTTTATCCGGCGTTCAGACAGTGCCTTGTACTTTTCTCTTTCAGTTGTCCCATTCGATGTCAACTGTTAAATATCGGCGTTCAGACAGTGCCTTGCACTTTTCTCTTTCAGTTGTCCCATTCGATGTCAACTGTTAAATATGTTATCGTACTAAATTTTATGCAAATATTTGATACTGGACGTAAGAAAACAACTGCAAGTGATTTCTAACAGTCTACAGGGAGACTGAATTCTGTACTATTTATTTGACAGCCATCAGATCTTGGGGCCATCAGAAGTAGTAGTACATCAGTGCTTTGATTGTTGCTATACTGAAGTAATCTTATTCGCGGATAACCGTACTTTGTTTACCTCTAGATGTAAAAAAATGTAACGATAGAAAGAGATGTGGCCCGGGGGTATACGTCATTTAGATATCATCCTACGACACAATTAAACTAACGGCATTTAAAGATCAACATTCAGTCATAAACGAGAAGTTGTTAAAAATTTACCATAGTCTATATGAAAGATTTACCATCAACATGGTCAACACCACATTTTTCAAAATAAATAAAAAAAAAAAAAAAAAAAAAAAACACACACCCATTAAGATATGATATAAAACAACCATCAAGAGGTTTTTGACTTAACATTGACCAGCGGACAGAGCTAGATCGAGATAAGCTATATTATTGTTGTTGTTTTTGGTTTTGGTAGGCGGCTTACTTATGTAGTAATTGCGCCTTAAATTCATATAATATACGCTGTCCTTAATTTATTTTTAGCATTACATTTTGGCGAGTAATTATATGAAACTGTGACGAACATGGTTGACTGTGTTATAATAAAGTATTTATATGTAGAAGAAAAAACACAGGAAAAAAAGGTAATAGGAAAATGAAAAATAAAGCCAAAAAAAAAGAAAATTTAGTTCCTAATGAAATGTAAATTATTAACTGCTAGGTATCATAAAGTTGTTCAGAAATTTCATCTGATTGTTCACCTTTGTGTCGTCTCTGATCACAGGCACTTGTCTCAGAATTTTTTACCTATATACCTTAATATAACATCAAGGTATATAGGAAATTTTTTTTCTGAGACAAGTGCCTGTATCTGTGATATACTTATAAAAATAAAGTATACTAAGAAACATAGAACAAGACATTTGCTAGTTAAATGCTACCAATGTAAGGACGTCTCCCACTATTGATGTAGCAAATAAAGAATCCTTTAGTAAGGATTGATATTTTTATTTTTTATTTTATGAAAAGCTATATGAAAGAACATAATATCACGATGTAAATCTTTAGCGGAGAAGTACTGAAGCGTATCACAATGGTTTAATAGATAAATAAATAACAAAAGCACAAATAAAAACAAAGAAATACTATAACTAAATCGTATCAAAGAATACATGCACCTAGGCTATATATCATGTAATTAAAATAATGATTTAGAAATTGAGACTAAAATTAATTTTGTATTCCGTGTAAACCATTGTCCTTGTTTTAATCTTATTAAAATAAATCCTTCTTTTTTAATTCCCCTTTATTTTTGTACTATAATACGACCATAAACTTTTAATACTGTGACTTTGTCATTGTGAGAAAAGATATAAAAGTAAATACTATAATAATTTATATGATTAAACAAATTATAAATTATAAAAAAAATGCATAAGATTAAAATGCAACAAGATTTATCTTTTATTTAAGTTTATTGAATATTTCACTTTAGTATGGAAACTATTTTAGGTTTATTTGTACTCACGTTTGACATGACCAGTCCCCATGAACAATGCAAAATCTACACTACAATCAACAAAAGCTTAATGGCTATTATTTATTACATATTCATCCGATGTGTCTCACTTCGATAGGTACAAAAGCATGTATTCAGGTCGTATTAGTTTTGTATCCAATTGACATCTTTAAATGTCAGAGGGAATATCAAGACTTGGTGTTGAATTATAGAAAGACAATTTTTGCAGCTTCAATGAATACCTTACGAATGCAAATGACTAGTTTAAAAATTACAGTTAGTTTGATGAATAAATCTTTCGGTTATCAGAAATCAAATCTCTACTGTACCCTTGTTTATAATTTATTGAACTGTTTACAACCTAGGAATATATTTGTGTAGCAAACTTTGAGTTTGGTGTTTAATTAATGAAACATTTGCATTTTGTGACAATTTCTATCAAAGTATTTAACTCAATAATATCGACAGTAACGATGACAAGAATACGTACATAATAAAGTGTGTTGTAACCTAGTTGAATATATACCTATGTTGCACTTAATAATATATAAATGTTATAACCCTGATATCAGACAAACCAAGATGCCAGATCACCATTTACCTAGCCTTGATGATATACAAACCAATTGTCCTTTTTTGATATTAATTAAGAAGCCAGGAACGTTATGATGATTTATACCTTTAAGTTAGTATATTGACTTTCAATAAACTTATGATATAGAACATCAGTACCTCACCATGTGCCTGTATTACGGAACCACTCGTATAAACATTACCGTCTATGGACCACACTATACGATCACCAGACAGTCCTATGATTCTATTAATTGATAGACATTGGTAGTTTGACCAGAACTTTCTCAGAACTACCTTGCGTTCGCACTGATGTACACTTAAACATTTTCATCAACGTATTATTTTAAATGTAGTTTTAATAAAAGTATCATTTAAACTTTTGTGTTTCTAACCCATTACGTCACAGTGTCCATTCCTGAACGTTAGGGTAAATCGGATGTATTCTTCTAAGGTTTCAGTCTCGTTGAAATCTCGTTTTGGAATTATTTCCAAAACATGTGATACAAGTGGAATGTTGTCGACATCCATGAAATTGAAGGCAAACGTAACCCTGATGTTTATAATAACTTACAACGAATTAAACAAACAATTTGCCTCAGTCTGGTATAAAATAGTTGAAAAGATAAATGTTTCTTTATTTCAAATTTGGAAATATATATGATTATATATTAAAAATACCTTCATTTTAGCGTCGTTTATAGATACCAGTCAATGCAGCAGGTTCCGTCGTGTTTTGGGCGGTTGACAACGCAATACATGTTGGCGATATATATGCTGTTCTTTTATCGCGAAAATAAAATAATAAAAAATAACCTTTTATTTTTGGTAAACATTTTTCATCGTAACTTTGCATAGATGCAGAGTGCCGAGATATTTGATGTTATTTGACATTGATTGCTCTGATCGACTTTATCCCATTCTTCTTCTCACTCTTTACATTTAATTATATTCTTTTTTTAAATGTTCTGTATCTTTTAATAAGTAAGCATGTGTACGCTTTATCCATATATGTTTTTATGCATAATAGAACGAGTTTTTTATTATTCTGGGTTGAGTTTTTTTGCAATAAATTCTTCTTTATGATGCACGCCGTTTCCCGATGATTTTTTTTTAAAAGCAGAAATCAACGTGATTTTAAAATCATTTAATTGATTTTATAGATTCATGTTAATTTACACGCTTGGGTGAACAGGGATTGGTGTGTTTTGTTGTTTGAGTTGAACATGATGTACAATACAAGTACAGATGATGAAAAATGCACCATTTCATAAAGTGGTGAGACGACTCGCATACGATTAAAAGCAGTTCTCTGTAACAACCACCAATGTGCGTCAGGCATAGTCTAAGACTTTTTTTTTAAATTTTGTTTGTTGGTAGCTATCGGCAAACATATAAGAAATATATTGACAAACACATTGTTTATGTCCCCATTGCCATGGTTACGGATCCCCTTAGATTTTGGCTCAAAATTACATTTTTTTGAGGTAGAAAAAATACCATTTTTAGTCAGTTATCATGCACACATTTCAATTCTGATGAATATTGTAACATTTGTTCATTAAAATATAACATTTAATTAGTTAGATAAAAGGTAAATAATAGTTCTAATGAAAAGGGGAGAAGGTGGCAACACTGATTAAAATAAGGGAGTTTTAATTGTATTCAAGAAGACAAATTATAGGCATTTAGCATGAAGTAATTACACACTTTTGTATCCACACCCATTTACATTGAAGTTATTAATGTAAACTAACAATGTTGCCTAGTAATGATTTATTACTGAAGGTGTGGGATTCAGGTTATTAGGGTTTGTTACTGAGGGAACCTTAAAGTGAAATTTTTATTCTTTTGTAAAATAATTTTGACATTGTTATTAAAATATCTCATAAACTATGACAGATAAAGGATGAAAATCTATTGAAAAATGTTGCGCATTCATTGACCTTAAGTTTGATCTAAAGGTAAAAGGTAATTGATGACCTTGACCTTTGACTTTAAATTTTTTTTTATTAGATTTTGTCAGAAATGATTACAAATTTACCCATACCTTGAATAGAAAAAACGTTCAGAACATTTATTGCTTATATGTGGTAACAAGGTTAAATCCTAGAGGTCAATACTTGATATAAAAGTAAATAGCAACTAGATATTTTTAGGTACAGACTAATATGAACGGTTATATAGATCCTTATTGAATGGCGAGGGGTCAACATCCTTACCAAAGACTTAAGTAGCCATTCTCATATAGTTGGAAAATGCCTAGCAATCATCAATGTTTTGACCCCTTGTGACAAAATTCCGAAATTTTGGAACTACATTTGTAAATGTAATTCTTTCTTTCAATTAGAATGTCAAATTCCTTTTACGAACAGAAATAAGTTATTGACATGTTTTTACTCATGTGTATTTCAGTTAATCATCAGCCACGTTGTCTTTTGTTTTGACTTAAAATATCTTAGATATTTTTTGTGTGTAGTAAGTGTTCATGAAACTTTAAATCATTCGAAATAAGTACCAATGCTGTTTTCTTAGGCATATATATAGGTTTACAACAAAAATATTTACTTTGAAACTGCATACTAGTAATCAAATGTTATATTAAACTTAACAGTATATATATAATGCATAGCATATATTCTGTAAAAAGCCCATATTCTGTTGCCACCTGATAAAAATTATGGCTGGTACAGGTAAAAATAGAACACTGAAATAAAAACGGTAGTTCTTGGCTTATCTTACAGGTATATTATGTTTGTTAGGTGTTGATCTATCTTAATATTTTCAAAACAGAAATTAAATGTCAGCTTTTAGCAAAATATTTAGTTATTTTACTTGAAAACTATTTTAGATAAAAGATCACAAATATACTTAAAATGACTTTAAACGACGATTTAAAGGGCAAATTATGCTTTTCTCATCTGTTGTCATCCGCCATCTTGTTTAAACTTGTGCAAAAGTCTGGTTCTCTTAAATTACTGGGCAAATTGGAACCACAACTTATCATTCGTATGATATGTACATACAAAAAACATCCGAAGGGTCATAAATACACTATAATATAGAATAAAGGAACTGCTGAATTCAAATTTGATTTTGCGTTTTTGCTTGAAATGTTATTATAATTTTATTGTATCAATTGAACGCAAACATACCAGATGAATCATACAGCATCATTGGGGCTCGGATAGAAGGTAATTTAGCATATTTAAGTTATTTGTATTGAAAACTTTTATAGATAGATGGAAAAAATTTCCAAACAAGACTAATTAATCAACTTGACCGAAATTGTATATATGCTCCATGCAGGCGTTATGCCCTTAAATGACGACTGTTACCCATTTTTAAGTCTAATTACAGGTTATTTTGAAACTGCAATTAATCGGAAAAAAAACTTTATACAGATTCAAATTCAGATTCAATATTTTATTATAGTCTTACCACATACAAACATACCATAAGATTCACATAAAAACACATAAAACAGTTAAAACATTTGCAATGTATGCATCAATCTTAAAAAGATTTATGAGAGACTTTTAAGACACAATATATACATATAATTTTTTTTATACATTTACATTTGAAATTTACAATGTCCATCTAAACTTCATGAATGTAAAACATGTTTTTCTTTTAAAACTAGTGAAATAAAATACTGTTTCTTCTCAATAAAATACTGTTTCTTCTCAATAAAATGTTGTTGCAGGTTTTGGCAACAACATTCTCATTATGAAATAAAAATATAAATTTTTCACTATCTGATAATAGGTTAAAGCGTTCATTAAAACGTATAGCAACACACGTATATACAACAAAAATAATTAGCCAGACAAGATCTACAAGAAAGTCAAATCTGGCATGAATCTTCAGTCAACTTCCCTCTTCTAATGATGATTGTATCCTTTTTGTTATGCTAAAAATTATGGTCGATAAAGAAAACTGTACACAGCTGAAACAATCAGCAAAAGCAAGATGTTGAAAAACTATAAAATACAGAGAGAATTCAAACTTTAAACAAAGCCAACCAGCTATAATAGATCTTTAGACATGTCAACATGATCAAAATCAGTTTGTCTACTCCTTTAGCGAGTTATTATCCTTCAGTGACAATTTTCTCTGATTTAAGTGTTTGTAACGAAAGCAAGGTCTCTGATAAAACTTTGAATTTATATTAAGTTGAAAAACTGTGTGAATGATTGACCAAAGTCCGTTTTCAGAGACAAAGAAGCTGTGAAATGTCTATCATCTCTTCACGATGAATATGTTGTTTTTCCTACGGACAAGGTGTAGTACCACCAAATCGTAGTACATCACATCCGAAAAAGGGTCGAAAAAAGAGTCGAAAAAAAATTTTCCTTTGAATTTGACAGTTGTAGGAAATTAATCCTACATTTCATTGCAGTAAAAAATTTCTGAGTCATAAACATATATCTTTGGTGTTTCAGAGCACCCTTATTTTTTTATTTGGTGTTTCTATAGAATATTTTGGAAACTTGAGGTTACATGGTTACTAAAGCTTGTACAC